CCCTTTTATAGCCTAAAAAATTAAAAAAGTTTGGTGGAATAGTAAATGTTAGGCTCTGGGTTTGGTGGAACACCGAAAGGTTTGTGGAACATTTGAATTAAAAGTCAATTTACAAATCTTCACCTTGACTTTGAATATGAAGATCTTCTCTTTACTCTTCATGTCTTGCCATAAGCCTATACGGGCTTAACCTCCGCTTTATTGAACTCCAAGCAATTCAAGACAATGCTCGAACTTGTACGAAGGTACGGGCTTCATCATCATATCTTTTGGATTGTCTGCAGTACCAATTTTCTCAATCTTGATGACTTTAATTTCTCTGATATAATGATACCTAACATCTATATGTTTGGTTCTTTTATAATACATTTGATGCTTCGTCAAATGTCTAGCACTCTGGCTACCATAAAATACCAAAGTAACACATTGGTGTAAGTCGAGATCTTCAACCACACCTCTCAACCAAATGACTTATTTCACTGCTTATGTTACTGTCATAAACTCTACCTCTGTGGTAGACAAAACAATTGTCGACTGTATAGTCGCCTTCTAACTAATGACACTACCTGAAAGAGTGAATATATAACCTGTCATGGATCGTTCTTATCCAAATCGTCCACATAATCTGAATCAGAATTACCAAATATTCTGCAATCTGAGTTTTTGTTCCTACCAAAATATAAACCAATATTAGCTGATCCTCTTAAATATCTGAGTATCCATTTCACAGCCTGCCAATGGACCTTTCCAGGCTTATTCATATACCGACTCACAACACTGACTATATGTAAAATATCTGGACGGGTGCAGACCATAGCATATATACATAATACTTCCAACTTCACTCGCATAAAGAACATAATACATATACTGCTTCTCCTCTTCAGTCTGAGGTGACAAATCTGCTAAAAGACGAAAATGAGCTTACTAGTTTTCTAACCACAAAGCAGACATTGTTTGCTCAATATATCCAGTCCTCTCTCGCTCATATGTCCTAACCGCATATGCCACAAACGTGTAGTGTCTGAATCTGAATCCTCTGAGGATGACACTGCTGTAGCACCTGTCACTGTACTGACTTCAAGGATATAGAGGATATTTACCTTCTTTCCTTTTATCACAATAAGAGAGCCTTTACTAACTCTCAAAACTCCACCTTCAGCTGAAAACTTAAAACCATTTGAATCAAGGGTGTCTAAAGAAATGAGGTTCTTCTTTAACTTCAGTATATGTCGGACATTGTTCAATAATCTAACAATACCATCATGGGTTCTAATCTTAATTAATCCGATACCAACAGTCTTGCAAGACATGTTATTTACCAAACAAGACATTCCTACCATCGATAGAGTGATATGTGACAAACCAATCCCTATGTGGACATATATGGTAGGAACAACCCGAATTAGTAACTCACTCATCTTGTGAATGAGTATTAACACTAACTGAAAGAACTTCATGTGAACTAGAAGACTCTTCAGTTACAGTAGCAACTAAAGGTTTCACCTCCCCAGATTTCGACTGTGAATTATCCTTTGCTTTGAGCGCTGGACAATTAGGTTTTATATGCTATACTTGTGACAGTAATAACATTCAACATTTTTTTTGGCCTGGACTTTGATCTAGACATATTTCTAGATTTGTTTCTATCACCAGCACCCTTTTTAGGATGACCACGAGCGAATAAACCTTCAGCTTGATCCTCTCCTCCTACGACAGACACTTTCTGCCTTAATTTTTTTGAATGTAAGGCTGATTTGATATCCTTCAAAGAAAGTGTATCTCTACCGTATAACATGCTATTAACAAAATTCTCATAGGAATGAGGTAATGAACATAACAAGATGAGGGCTTGATCTTCTTCGTCGATTTTAACATCAATATTCTTTAAATCCATAAGAATAGTGTTAAGTTCATCTAAGTGGTCTTTAATTCGCATACCTTCCTTCATGCGAAGGGTGAAGAGGCGTTGCTTCAAGTAGAGCTTGTTCGTTAGAGATTTCGTCATGTACAAGCTCTCCAATTTGAGCCACAAGCCGGTGGCAGTATCTTCATTTGCAACCTCTCGCACGACTTCTTCGGCCAAATAGAGCTGTATGGCACTATGCGCCTTCATCTCCAACTCTTCTTTCTCATCATCGGGCATAGATGTCGGTAACTTATCCTTTCCGGACAAGACTTTGAACAGTCCTTGTTGTACTAGGAGAGCCCTTATTTTTACTCTCCACAAACTGAAGCTATTTCTACCATTGAAATTTTTCACTTTGTATTTTGCAGAAGACATCTTGAAGCCCACTAGAATAGTAACTGTAATTATGAATAGTAATTGTACTTGTGAACAGTAACCATACGTGTGAATAGTAACCATATGTATGAATAGTAACAGTACTTTAAATAGTATCGTACTCGTGAATAGTACCTAGTACCTTAAAAAAGTAAATGATAATCTAACTTATTTTCTGATGTGGAGGATCCACTTTTAGTGGCAGCTATAGAGCATACGATAAGTAGATACATGTATCCTAAGTCAGGTTCTGATACCAGTTTGTTGCAGCGGAGGGCTTTACAGACACAGAAGATGTCTATACAAGAGTAGAGAATAACCATACTGAATAAACACAGTAAAGACAAAGAGAACAACACAATGATTTAACGTGGTTCGATCAGTATGACCTACGTCCACGGGCGAGAACAACAGAGAACTTCACTGATCACAAATGAGAAGATTACAAAGAGGAGATCACTCTCTAACCAAAGAATCACACAAAGAAAGATTTCTCTTTCTCTCTCTCTTTCTCTCTCTCTTTCTCTCTCTTTTGTTTTCTCAACTCTGTCTGATGCTCTGAACTCTCTCCCACACCCCCTTTTATAACCTTAAAATAATAATAATAAATTAAAAAATTTTGGTGGAATAGTAAATGTTAGGCACTGGGTTTGGTGGAACACTGAAAGATTGGTGGCACATTTGAATTCAAAGTCACTTTACACTCAGTTATATCCTACAGAACTTGCCTTGTTTTCTTGAGTACATAGTTCAAGTTCGTATGATATTATAAATGGAAGAAACAAGTTCTTGAGTGAATTGTTTTAGTGTTGCATTTTTTCCTTTAGTTTGCACATTTACTCCCTCTTTATAACATATGTTTCTCTTCATCTGGCTATATTTTGTCATTTTGAAATCATATCTTTGAAGAAGATTTTTAAATTGTCACTTCTTTAAGAAAGTAAACAATAATCTCTTTTAAGGTACTCTAACTATAAACAAGTAATTAAATATATAAATAAATATTTGAAAAATTATAACTCCATATGCTACAGGTTGCGGTCGTGATTGTTGCTTTCCCTGCGGTAGCACTTCTCTTGAACAGGGCTCGTTTCTGCATTTCTGCTTCACACTCCAGAGAAGACCTTGTTAAAGCCTTAGAGGTATAATTAACGCAATTTCCTTTTACTCGATCAATATCATATATTAATAACCAATCAACATTTTTTGTAGCTACTTTTAACATTTTATGATGAATTCAGGTTATCAGCAAAGTTGGTGATCTGACTGGCATCAAGTACCTACCTGCTGCACCTCACAAGACTCGTGCTAAAGAGAACGGGAAGAAGCTTGGTTAGAAAATATCAAGTTCAGGATAATGCATGCAAATTTGAAGCAAACCAAAGCACTCATGCACTAGAAGTACAAGTTAGTTTAGTTTCTGGCAGTCAGTAGATTTATAATACCTTGTGTAACTTCATTCTTTGTTTGTTACTATGATGATAAGTGCGTGAGGATTCTACTTCGCACTAAATCTAGCTGTTCTATTCTATATTCAGCATGCATTTAAGCAACTTTTGCTTGATCTTCTCTTTTTATGTTCAAGCTATTATGTCTAAGAAATGGGATTCGCAGTGATGGTACTTCTTGATTTTCCTCATTAAATGCTTCCCTTACGCCATTTCGAATGGTGTTTGGATCTTCTTTAGTGTCAAAAAATAGCACTTGATCAAACTACTATCACGAGGTACATAATAACTGTTGCATTGGAATGTAACACAACCATCCAAATATCAAGAGACGGTTGTGATTTGGAATACTGGTCTCTGCATTAAATTATCTGATAAAAAGAATCCAAATCTTTTCTTGATCGATGATGGCGAATTTGCATGTTTTAGATGAGTATAAATGCTATTGCGGTTCTGCTAAGAGGGGTGGAAAAAAAATCTTAGAACTTGACTAGAATAAGTTATCTACTAATGAACTAACATGTCACCTTGTTCTGTAAAGGGGAGGCTTATTGCAAATAACATCCTTCTTGCTCATGAGCTAAAAAAACACCGAGAGAAAAAATATTTCTCCTAAGGTCATGCTTATTGTTGATATACGCAAAGCATTTGATTCTATTATTTGTTCTTTTTTCCAATCCATGCTCTCTGGTTTGGGGTTCCCTGTACAAGTGATTAATTTGATTATGGCTTGCATTACCTCTCCAAGCTATTCCATTTCTATTAATGGATCACCACATGGATACTTTTAAGGGTACGAGAGTGTTAATGCAAGTGACCCTCTCCCTCCCTATCTCTTTGTTATTGTCATGGAATATCTCAAGGAGATTATCTTTTCTCAAATTGGACAAGGACTTTAAGTATCACCCTAAAAATGTGCACAACTGAAACTCACTCACTTGATATTGATGACCTGCTTTTATTTAGCAAGGGAGATGTTACTCCAATTCAAAAGCTAAATCAATTCTTTCGGGGTTTAGCTCAGTTTCTGGCCTTGGTGCAAATCCAAACAAAAGTTGTATCTTTCTACTTTGGGTTACTCTGAGGGGATTTTTCCAATATGATACTTGGGTGTTCCTCTCATTTGTAAAAGATTATTATATCTTGATCTCAAAACTATCTATGCAATTTCAAAATCGGAACAGGCACAGGAAAATGTCTTATGCAGGAAAGCTTCAATTGCTTAAAAGTGTTATCATGGGTACCCAAACATTTTGGGCTAGCAGTTATAGTCTGCCAAAGAGAGTCTTGATTAAGATAGATGAACTTAGTAGGAAATTTCTTTGGGGGAAAAGTGGTGAGACTAAGACAATGAATCTGGCGGCTTGGAGTTATGCTTGTAATCATAAATCTCATGGTGGCCTTGGTCTTTTCTCTGTGTGAGGCTCGTGAGCCTCGATTGATCCTCAAATTGTTGTTTCTGGCCATGGCTGGAACTGTAAGAACTTGAGAACAGGATACAAGAAGAATTGAGATAGAAGAGAGGAATAGAATTGAGAGAGAGAATTTAGAAACAGAGAATAAGAGTGAATTGAGAGAAGAACAGCTAAATTCATTCATAAGTTTTGATCTTTACATTCTTCTCTTTTATACAGCTTCCACTTGAGAGTTCAGCTTGTGCACGTGCACATACAGTGTTTGTGCAAAACTGAATTAACAGACTAACTGAATCATAACAGACTAACAACTCAATGAATTCATTTATTACACATAAACCCTTGAACTATACAGCTCATGTCCTAAAGCCTTGGTCTTTTGCATATCAGTCCAGGCTTTTGCATATCAGTCCAACCTCATCAGAATCTTCAGTTTCAGCTTCTAAAACCCTGTCTTTAGCTTCGATGATCAATTCTTCATCTTCCCAAGTTTCAGCTTCCTTCTCTATTTATTGTCTTCCAGCACCTGACAAATCCCTCCCACTTAAATTTGACCTTGCCTCGAGGTCAAAAGCAGGAAATTTTTTTACCAAGTCCCAATATGGCTCCCAAGTAGAATCCAGAGAGTTGCGCTGCTTCCATTTAATGAGAACTTCAGACACCAACTTGTTTCCCTTGATAACTGACCTCCTATCCAAGATTGATAAAGGTTCATCAACAATTTCTGCCACATAGTTAGGAAAGTCAACCTGAATGACAACGTCAGTTCCAATCCTTTTCTTCAATTGGGACACATGGAAAACTAGGTGGATTTTTTCTTGATCAGGTAAACCCAATCTATAGGCAACCTCTCCAATCTTCTCTAGAACCTGGTAAGGCCCATAAAATTTAGGAGAGAGCTTTTGAGTTCTGTACGAAAACACACTGATTTGTCTATATGGCTGAAGTTTAAGGAAAACCCAGTCTCCCACCTCAAAGCTCCTGTAACTCCTATGTCTGTCAGCAAATCTCTTCATCTGGGCAGCAGCAGTCTTCAAGCTGTCTTTAATGAATTGTAAGGTTATATCTCTTGAAAAGAGAACTTCATCCACTGCCTCCACCTTACAACTCTTAGAAACATATGAAAGCAAAGAAGGAGGAGATCTACCATATACTACTTCAAAGGGAGTAGAATGTGTAGAGATTTTCCATGTAGTATTATACCAAAATTCAGCTAGAGACAGCCACTTACTTCATTCCTTAGGTTTGTGACAACAAAAGCATCTTAAGTACTCTCCAAATTTTTGTTAGTGACCTCAGTTTGCCCATCAGTTTGTGGGTGATATGCTGAACTAAATTTCAGTTGGCTTCCTTGTAGCTTAAACAATTCTCTCCAAAACAAACTTGTAAACAAATAATCCCTATCACTGACTATAGATTTAGGCATCCCATGCAACTTGAATACCCCTTCAAAGAAAACCTGAGCTACTGACTGAGCAGTGTAGGGGTGTGATAGTGGAAAGAAATGAGCATATTTAGATAATCTGTCAACAACTACAAAGATAACAGATTTATCTCCACTCTTTGGAAGATGGGTAATAAAATCCATGGATAGATCCTCCCAAATATAATCTGGAATAGGGAGTGGCTGTAATAGTCCTGGGGATGCTATATTTTCCCCTTTTGCCCTTTGACAAACATCACAAGCCTGTACATACCCTTGAACATCTCTCTTCATTTCTTTCCAATAGAAAGATCTTGGAAAGGAAGATCTTCTCAATATGTGCAAAGTTCTAATAATTCCAGAATTGCCTCCTGTAGGACTGTCATGATGTTCTCTAAGAAAATATGTTTTAACATTTTGAGCAGTAGGACTAATCAGTAGCTTGCCCTTGTAGTAAAACATTCCCTCCTTCTTGTGATATCTGTTAGCCTCTAATTGTCCCCTTTGTAATTTGGTATCAAGCTCTGTAAAATACTCATTTGTGGAACACATATGTCTAATTTCATCCAACCACTCACTGTTGATAGTAGTAATTGCTGAGGCTTCAATTTCCTGTGGTAGGGTATCTTCTTCCACTTCATATACTCTGGATAAACCATCTGCAGCCTTGTTTAGTCTCCCTGGCTTATACTCCACTCTGTAATCAAAACCATGGAGCTTTGCAAGCCATTTATTATGGATCCTTGTGTGGATTCTCTGTTCAAGTAGATACTTGAGACTTTGATGGTCAGTTCTAATCACAAATTTCCTTCCCAACAAGTACTGCTGCCATCTTTTTGTAGACAGAGTGAGGGCTAGAAGCTCTTTCTCATAAGTTGACAGTGTGGTATTCCTTCCCTTTAATGCAAAGCTAAAATAGGATATAGGCCTCTCATTTTGCATCAGCACAGCACCAATCCCTGAACCAGAAGCATCACATTCAATGATAAATGTTAAACTAAAATCTGGCATTGCTAAAACTGGGGACTGGGTTAAAACAATCTTCAAAGCTTCAAAAGCTTTTTCCAGCACTTTCTCCCCAACTGAAGGCTCCCTTCTTTAATAACTGTGTTAAGGGCTGAGCTATAACTCCAAAATTCTTGATGAATTTCCTGCAATACCCTGCTAAGCCAAGGAATCCCCTCAATCCTTTCAGTGTTTTAGGTTTTGGCCATTCAACAATAGCTTGAATCTTCTTTGGATCAACCCCCACACCCTCCTGAGACACAACATGTCCCAAATACTCTACTTATGTTTGTTCAAAGCTGCATTTAGACAATTTGGCCACCAGTTGGTGATGGTTCATTATCTGAAATACCTGTCTTAGATGAATCAAGTGATCCTGCCACCCTTTACTATATACTAATATGTCATCAAAGAAAACCAAGATAAATTTCCTAAGGAAATCTTTAAAGTGGTATTCATAAGAGCTTGGAAGGTTGAAGGAGCATTTGTAAGTCCAAAGGGCATGACCATGAACTCAAAGTGGCCACTGTGTGTTCTGAAAGCAGTTTTAGGAATATCTTGATCACACATCCTTATTTGATGATAACCAGACTTTAAATCCAGTTTAGTAAAGTATTTTGTTCCATGTAATTCATCTAATAATTCATCTATAACAGGGATAGGGAATTTATCCTTGATTGTAGCCTGATTTAATGATCTATAATCTATGCACATTCTCCAACTTCCATCAGATTTTTTGACCATGACTACAGGTGAAGAAAAAGGGCTGTTACTGGGTCTGATAATTCCCTTCTTAAGCATCTCTTCCACTTGTTTTTCAATCTCCTCTTTTAGAAAGTGTGCATGCTTATATGGTCTAATGCAAATTGGTTTTGTTCCCTTCTCAAGTGGAATTTTGTGATCTATACTTCTTCTTGGAGGAAGGTGAGGTAACTCTTGAAAAACAATTTGAAATTCCTTCACCAAGTTTAACATGTCTGCAGGCAGCTCCTCATGTATTTTCTCTGTGGTGCATGTTTGTAAGTCTATACTACATAACTGAATTTAAAATCCCTTCTCTTGTTCTTTGAATGTCTTGGAAATGGCCTTGCTGACAACCAGTTGCAATTCTCCTGGAAGTACCCCCTGCAGTGTTCTCTTGATCCCATCACTCACAAATGTTACCTGCAATTTCTTAAAATTCAGAGTAATATCTTCAAGAGTTTTCATCCAATCAGCTCCTAAAACAATCTGGCTTCCCCC